CCTCCCAATTATAATCATGCTCAGAGAGGTTTTTACATGTTATAAAGAGAAGCTTGAGATCTTGGTTAGTCATTAACTTTCTCTCTCAACAAGGCATCCTAATATTACTATGCAAATGTACAATCCAGGCATTGATGAATGTGTTACATTCCAAACCAGCAAACTATGACTGTGAAGCAGAGTTGAGGTATTTAGTGACTTCATTTCATCTCTCGGCCTTGTAAATAATGCATAGTGTGTAGTTGCTGTCACAATATGATTAAACCATTAGCTTTACACTTCTCAGAGTTAAGAATGTATTCAGCATATTATTCGTAATAACTCATTCCTAAATGCGAAAGGCCATTATAAAATATCCCTGATTCAAGAGAATATGGGTGAGATGACATAATGATTTTGCTTAAGACTAAGTTAAATGAGGAGTAAAATTAAACAATATTGTGGGAATTGTGTTTGACTAATTTTGTGTCACATTATATTAGCCAACCTTTCAAAAAGTGTTATTAATGACAAATAGTGTTAGTCTGTCAGTACTTTATTCAATTGTACCAGTCCCCCTAAGTCATTAGCTTCTGAAAGATTCATTCTATTTGCAGATTGTGTCGCCACTGGCATTTTTATGACATCCTCTTTTTTTTGTTGTTCGTAATGACTTTTCAATGACTTTAACATGCGTATTTAAAATGACTTTGAAATTTTCTCAGTGTCATTTGCTATATAATGTGTATTTGACTAGTATTTGTAGATAACATGACAAAAGTACTTTAAAAAAGCGATGAAATAATAGGCAACTTTCAGGCCTCATCCGAACAAGCATGGTTTTACGAAATACATTCACTAAATCATTGAGTGTTGGATAGAAGCTGGTGTGTTGTAACACATACATCAAGTGCTCACATGTCTGCAAGATTACAAAGCCCATAAATGACAACTGGAGTTCTTCAGTTCAGTTCCAGTTATGGCCTTTACTATAGTGGGTGGCTTTGGGATATGAGTAATAATCTAGCTCTTCACTGAACACTTTATAGGAACTTTTATAGAAACCATATCTAGACTTAACTGCAGTTCTCAACCTGCCATCCAATTCTGTAGCTTTTTGTTGCATCATATATGGACATTATTACTTTGCATTGACTTATCATTTAAATATTAATTCCTGATCTCCATAAAGTGAGATAAAGTAGAACTGTACCAAGAGAAGCATTGAGGCAGGCACAAGCATGAAAGCATTAAGACAGAAGAAAATTAAAATTCTTGATCTGCATTCTTGTTCTGGGTCAGAGACCCAAAATGTGAAGACTTTGGATTAACATCAGCCAGGTAGTTAGCATTTTCTGGTACAATGATTCTTATTGAGTAATCAGATCAAAAGTATGAGCCAAGAGGTAAAGTCCCATGCGGGGGACAAGTTCAAAACAGAAGGAAAAACGTGATAATAAACAAGCCTATTATTAGGGAGATCCCAAGAAGAGGGAGATAATAGCATCCAGCAGCCAGTCCCAGAAGTGGCAACATATGACTTGGTGGAAGGACCAAGCGGAGGTGACAAAGCGGAGGGGTGGGTATTCCCCCTCCTAGGTAGTGGGGAAGGCGGTCTAATAAGGGAAGGGAGAAAAAAAAAAGGGGGGTAAGGGAAGAAAGGGAGAAGAAGAGAGGGAGCAGGGGGAAAGAGAGATGGAGGGAAGGAGAAAGGAGCAAAGTCAAGTAGAAGCAGGAAAAAGGTGGGTAGTTAGCATTTTCATCATCTTCTTACATATATCATATTTTCAAGTACTGGTTTTCTCTACAGTAAAGCTTTACTTTGTGCTGTGTGGCATACTATTTAACATACACCTTCAGCACCATAACACTCTATTTGCACAATCTTGATGTTTATAGATGCTTGTTAGGGATGTGGGGCTGGAGCCAAGTTAAGTCTGTTAGGTGATGAATACACAACGTGTGATCTCCCCTGTGTCAGCCAGCGGTGGCTTCAGGGGAAATAGCACTTGACAATGACTTGTAATGCTTGGGAGTGGTGATGTCACTCTTAGGCTTCTATGGCCCATTAATTGTAGACACTCCCTCCACTCCCCTGCAGCTGCCACTAGCTGACACAGGGGAGCCGGAACATGTGATTGGACCTGAGTGGGCTGAATATAGATAAGTAAAGACATCTTTCATACACAGATTAGTCAGAATAGGAGTTAGGAGGGTGATAGGAACATTTTAAGGTTAGTTAGGTTTATCCTGAAACTTCTACTTTAGGCACATAAATACCACAATAAAATATTAAATTGAATATGGAACAATTTTCTGTTTGTCATCTATGTAATGAGTTAATGTTTGTCTGAAAATTATATTTTTGGTGATTCGGATGTGTATGAATCTCCTAATGGACATTGCAATGAATGTAAACAAATCAGAAAAAAAGTTATAACGGAATTAATGAATGCATTCGTTTCATTCAGATCACTTGATTTGATAGTAGTTCGAGCAACTGGGGAAATGAATTAAATTTTCAAATGTGTTAGATAATTCGGATTCAAATAAATTTGTGATTTAAATTAAATTTGTAATTTTCACAGTCAGTTTTGTTAGGTTTGAAAAATCTTGGGCTGCTGAATTGTACATTGTTTATTCTGTTGCATCTGAAAACAATGAATCCTTCTGAATAGTTTCAATATTTTAATTTCAAATCCACCCAAAATATATAGCAATCACAAAGACGAATTGGTTCAACATAATGAATAAGACAAAATGAAATTCTTCAATGAACTAATGCAACCAAAACAAAAAATTCCAGCGTGCACATGTCTACATGGCAAGGAATTTTGTTGAACTATTACACATTCTTAGATACTGAAACAGGCCCTGCTTGTGTACTTGTTCAAAGTGAGTGCTAATTGGGTGTGCTGCCAGTTATCATGACATTACTAATCTTAGTATTATAGTAAGAAAAAACAGCACCTCTGGCATCCTTCAATGTTTGGTACCTGTGGCACGTATGTCAGCAAAGATGAACCTTACCCACCTCAATATAGCTAAGGACATTGCAGCAGAGACCTATAATATAACCAGATAGTTCACATGAGCCATTCACATGAGCAAAATTATAGGAATCTAGGAAATTCTGTCTACAGCCATTCTTTTGTGTTCTTGTTCTAGTGTAAGTACCTGTTTATAGATACCTTGCAAATGGATTATTGTAAAAGGATACAATTGGCACATACTTGTTTGATTCAGCTTCAAACTTGACAATGAGCAACATTATGGAGTTTATCTACTAAAGTCAAATAGGTTGTTCACTTTGCAAGGGGATTTGCCGCAGAGCTAACAAATGTGGTGAATCCTCACTTTTTATGGGATACCCAGTATTGCAAGGAAATGAAAAAACAGCATTTTTCTTGGATGATGGAAGTCAGCAGACTTTCCTCATTCACTAAGCTCTGGGGCAAATTTCCTTTGCAAAGTGCAACTTTCCTTGCATCCATTTGTCTATAGTAAGTCAACCCCTATGAGTTTCATGAATCATTTGTGAGAAGCAAAACTATGATTTGGTGCAGACTCAGGGTTATAGTGCCAAGGCAAAGATCATAGGATATTTACCCTTTAAAAAACAGCATTTTTCTTGGATGATGGAAGTCAGCAGAGCTTGCCTCATTCACTAAGCTCTGGGGAAAATTTATTTGGCAAAATGCAACCTTCCTTGCATCCATTTGTCTTTAGTAAGTCAACCCCTATGAGTTTCATGAATCATTTGTGAGATGCAAAACTTTGGTTTGGTGCAGACTCAGGGTTATAGTGCCAAGACAAAGATCATAGGATCTTGGATGATGGAAGTCAGCAGAGCTTTCCTCATTCACTAATCTCTGGGGCAAATTTCCTTTGCAAAGTGCAACTTTCCTTGCATCCATTTGTCTATAGTAAGTCAACCCCTATGAGTTTCATGAATCATTTGTGAGATGCAAAACTATGGTTTGGTGCAGACTCAGGGTTACCGTGCCAAGACAAAGATCATAGGATATTTACCCTTTAAAAAACAGCATTTTTCTTGGATGATGGAAGTCAGCAGAGCTTTCCTCATTCACTAAGCTCTGGGGCAAATTTATTTTGCAAAGTGCAACCTTCCTTATGTCCATTGTCTTTAGTAAGTCAACCCCCTATGAGTTTCATGAATCATGTGTGAGATGCAAAACTTTGGTTTGGTGCAAACTCGGGGTTATAGTGCCAAGGCAAAGATTCATAGGATATTTACCCTTTAATACCATTATTCTCTATGCAATAATTTGCAGTGAAACATTGCAGCTATATACAGTAGGCTGTTGAAAGACATGAATAGATAGCAAATATTCACAGAAATCACCAAACAGATTCATATTGATGGTTGGGAGGTTTAGTAATGTATTAACCACTTCCTGTCCGGACACTTTTACCCCCTTCCTGTCCAGGGCAATTTTCAGCTTTCAGCGCTATCACACTTTGAATGACAATTGCGCGGTCATGCAATACTGTACCCATATGAATTTTTTACCATTTTTTTGAGACAGATAAAGCTTTATTTTGGTGGTATTTATTCACCGCTGGGATTTTTATTTTTTTTACTATGTAAATGAAAATGTCCAAAAATTTTGAAAAAAAGTGTTTTTTTTTTTATAAAATTTTGCAAATAAATAATATTTCATCCTAAATCTTGGCCAAAATTTATTCCGTTATTTTTTTAGTAAAAAAAAAAAATCCAAATTAGTTTATAACCAAACATTATAATTTTTAAACATTTTTTTTTTACATTTTTATTTTATTTTTTTTTATATTATTTTTTATTTTTATTTTTTATTTTTACATACTGTCACCCTAGCAGTACAGTGTCACCATGGTGACACTGTACTACTTGTGGGGGGTGATGAAGATTCTTTTTTTTTTTTTTTTTACACTGATTGCTTTTACACCCATATAGGATGTAAAAGCAATCATTTCTCTTTCTCTCTGTCTGCATTCTTGCAGTCATTGAGAAATACTGAGTGAGCTGTGATTGGTCACAGCTTGTCACATGGTACAAGGCTGTTGTGAATAGCCTTGTACCATGTGACCTCTGTGATCATTCACAGATTTCACACGTAGTAAGCAATGATGTCACAAGTGACATCTTGCTTACTACTTTGCATGTGATCACTGATTCGCCAATCAGTGATCACATGACCGGGACCTCGTACAGAGGTCCCGTCCGACGATCGGTGTTTCACTGTGTCCGGAGGACACAGCGGACACCGGGATCGCGGTGGTGCGCGCTCCTAGGGAGCGCGCACAGCTAGAAAAGGCGGGTGCCGTTTAGGAATGGCAACCCGACCTTGGACTGCCACCGCCCTGCCGTTTTATAAAACAGCAGGCAAGAGGTTAAGTAAAGGTACAGGGAACCTATTTCACGTGGATGGGGACCTGTAGTTTGTAAAGTATTTTAGGGCTAATTCACACTGCTGTGGCAGACATTTTACTGCATTGTAAAACATCTGTCACCGCAAGGTCATACAAGAAACAATTGTTTCCTATGTATCCTATTCAAACTGCAATGCATCCTATGGCTGTGACATATGGCATTTTATCACAGTGCACTATGCCGAATTGCACGGCAGTGTATGACAGCACAAGGCATCACGCTGCGGTACATTGTCATGAATGAAGTGTACATTTTATACACTTCACATAAAGTTTGTACTAAACAAAAGGGAGCCGTGTGATGTTCTGAATCCCACAACACACTGCCCCCTACCGCAGCCAGAAATGGACAGTGGTAAAAGTAAAGCTCTCCAGCAGCTCTTCGTTGCAGTGTGAACCTGGCCTTAAAGTGTTACTAAACCCACAACAGTAAAATCCGTCTGTATATGCAGTAAAGCATGCTTGTTATACTCACTGTGGAACCTAAGGGGTTAATACTCTGCATTGTGTAAAAAGACTGTGTGATATTTTCTTATATGCCTCTCTTCTTGTTCAAATGTCCATGCTGATATGACAGACTGAAACATGCTCAGTTTAGTGTGTATTGCTAGAGAGGTTTTTTTTTTTGGGAGAGTGCATGTGATCAACACAGGGCCAATCAGCACTGTCCAGACAGAGGTCACAGGATTTCCATCATCCTAGAGAAAACTCCTCCTACAAGCTTTAACTAGTTTCTCAGCTGAAGTCACAAGACTGCTTTAAATGCTGATGAGAAAAGGTATATAGCAGTTTTTATTTAATAAATAATTGCATTTCCATGTTGTGTGTACTGTGGGAGACCAGATATAGTGAATGCAGGGTCTGGGGTTTAGTAACACTTTAATTATAATAGTAAGGGCCAGATTGATAGTTATGGTAAATAGGGATTAGGTGATTTATCTATGTCAGCGTAATTAAAACTTTTGCCAAAGTGTTGTCCAATTTTGCATACTGGTTGCTTTGATGAAACAAACTTTTTATTTATTTATAGAGGGTGCAGTTGAGGTATTTACAATTAGTTGTCTATGAATTTGTGTTTTATTTGTGTGTTTGATTGATTGATCTAGAATAGTTAAAAAGAGGTTCAGTAACCCTCAGAAGCCAATAACAGCTCATTGCACGCTTACAAACCATCAAAATCATTCTAATTTCACCTTCCCAATGAAAAATATATTTAGCAAAAACAGTGATATTTTGCAGAAGTCTCCCAATTTTCAGAGAAAATTTTGTAAAACATGAAAATTCTCAACTTTGCTCATCCCTAACAGCAAGAATATTTTTTTTCTGCAGTGTGTTTTACATGGCATCTGGAGTTCCAGTCTCTGTTCACATTAGTTCAATGACATCATATTTATGTATTCTTGAGATGAATACAAACACGCACTTCATAAATATTCTAACAATTAGGAGAACAGCATGATGCCTTAGGCCCAACAAACTCTGAATATTCTGTCTTTCTCGTGTATTGTTTGGTCATTCCTAAAGCAGCTCATGACTGGAGGCCCAAGACCAAGAATGTTGCCATTTGCCTTCAGCCATAAGCTGAAGACTTCTTTTTAATAAAAAATAGATGTATTCTTTTTTTTTTCAGCAACTGATCTGAGGAATTATTACTCTAAGCAGTAGAGTGTTATGCTCCGGGAATAATGTTTACATTTTGTACTGAGAATCATGGGTTGACCTTTACAAAGAACCCTTCTAACCCCATCACAGTGATGCCTCGTCTTTGCTGATCATATGAAGGGATTTAAAAGGCTGTGAAATATAACAGTCTTTAAAACCATGTACAAAGTAATAAAACTGATGAAGTATGAAACAAACATCATGTTGCTATATCTACACCTTTTTCTAAAATGTCCTCAATATGATTAGGATTTTACAGGCTTTACACTGGTGGCTTTATATATATTCTTTTAGTGGTGCTGCAGCTGACTACTATAATAACATTGCAATATTTTCTGTTCAATTAGACGAGACTGCATGAACACCAGAACCATAAAGGAAGCCAAACAAGTGACAGAAAAACTGACTCATATAGACATGCTTGATGATTTCTTCCATGTTATTGGAGAGTAATATATAAAGAATGCCGCTAATAGGTCCAAGTACTCAAACAAATATTAATTAAATTATGCTTTAAATGGAGAGCATAGTATGATTTCATTAAGTATGCATTTTTATTTTTTTTTTACATTTACGTGAAAGTAATTTTTGATATGGCTTTCACATTCTTACATGCTTAATGTGCTATAATTTGAAGATTTTGTTTCATTTTCATGCTCCCTCTAGTGGTCATCTGTGTATCAAAGAAGATGATTGACATCACTGGTGTAGCACCTTCCTAGTGTAGAGTAGGCTGTTTGGTTAATGTAGTTATCTCCTCTGTTCTCAGTGGAGCAGGGGTTAATTGTTTATCGCTGCTCATTGTCTCACAGGCTGCTGCTCCAATTACTGCCCCTTACATTCTAGAGGATTCTAGAATTATAATGGGAAGAAGACCAGAGTAAGCAGCCCAAATATTTATGGGACTCCAGCAATTCACTGGGGAGGTGTGCCCAGTAGGTGGTTGGAGAGCCCATAAATAGTCTGAGACCTGAGGCAGCAGGGTAGTGTTCCTGGGTCCAGTCCTGCTGGAGGAGACCCCTATGGAGTTCTTGTAGTGCAAACAAGAAGACATCAAGGTCCCAGCTAAGCCTTGGCCGGGGGGCCTATCTGCAAGCTTAGTCCTGGAAATAGTTTGGATCTGGAGAGAGCTCAATGGAGAGAGCCAGAAAGAAGTTGGGGGGATGTTTCCAGCTGTCTTATGTTGGTCAGGGATTGCACTGAGAAGAGTCAGGTGGGTATCAGAAGCAGGCAACTGATGATCCTGTGACTGTGTGAGAAGATGATCTAAAAGCTGGAGAGGCAGTGACTGTGAGTAGCTTTTGGTTCCTGGGAGAAGTCATAGTCACCGTCAGCATTAGAGATTCTTTGGGACATTTTGACAGAATCAGCAAAATAATTAAGTCCTCATATTGTCCAGTTCTTCAGTTCTGGGGTATCCTATGCTCCCCTTATCCCCATCCAAATTCAACATTCTAATAAAGCCCTAAAATGACACCCCTAGACTGTTCTTTCAAGCCAGTGAAAGAAAATGATGTGTAGCTGGCTGTGGCTGTGTGTGCTTGGAGAATAAGACTAAATTCAACAATGGATCTCTAAGGGGTATACACTAGTAAAAGTGGACCTGAACATAAAAAGAAAAGGTTTTCCATCTTATAACATCTAGAATTGGTAATCATACCTAGGTAGTACCCTGAGATATTTACCTTTTGCCTTCATTTTCTCATAAATAACAGTGTACTTCTTGAGTCCTGACATGTGATTGTACATTAGCACACATGTTTTGTTGCTTACAAGTAGAGATGAGCGAATCGAACCTGGCGAAGTGGAATTCGTTTCGAATATTAGGAAAAATTTGATTCGCGCCGAATCCGAATATTAGCAAACTTCGGATGCGCGAATCAAATTTTCCCCGATCGGCCGATTTTCATCCCTTCTACAGCCGGCAAAAAGTGTCCCTGCAGAGAGCTCCGCTATTTCTGACAGTTCTCTGACAGTTCCTTCACATTTACAGCAGTTGAAACATTGTATCTATTTGTTTCCATTTAGGATACAGATGTTTTTATTCGGAAACAAATAGATACAATGTTTCAACCGCTGTAAATGTGAAGGAACTGTCAGAGAACTGTCAGAAATAGCGGAGCTCTCTGCAGATACACTTTTTGCTGCACTGGAATTCTTCTTCATCCTCATCCTACTTCTTCTTCTTCTTCATCCTCATCCTACTTCTTTCTTCTTCTTCTTCTTCTTCCTCATCCTTCTTCTTCTTCTTCTTCTTCATCCTCATCCTACTTCTTCTTCTTCTTCTTCATCCTCATCCTACTTCTTCTTCTTCTTCATCCTCATCCTTCTTCTTCTTCTTCATCCTCATCCTACTTCTTCTTCTTCTTCTTCTTCTTCTTCTTCATCCTCATCCTACTTCTTCTTCATCCTCATCCTACTTCTTCTTCTTCATCCTCATCCTACTACTTCTTCTTCTTCATCCTCATCCTACTTCTTCTTCTTCTTCTTCATCCTCATCCTACTTCTTCTTCTTCTTCATCCTCATCCTACTTCTTCTTCTTCTTCATCCTCATCCTACTTCTTCTTCTTCTTCTTCATCCTCATCCTACTTCTTCTTCTTCTTCTTCATCCTACTTCTTCTTCTTCTTCTTCTTCTTCATCCTCATCCTACTTCTTCTTCTCTTCTTCTTCTTCTTCTTCTTCTTCTTCTTCCTCATCCTACTTCTTCTTCTTCTTCTTCTTCTTCATCCTCATCCTACTTCTTCTTCTTCTTCTTCTTATTTTTCTTCTTCTTCTTCTTCTTCTTCATCCTCATCCTACTTCTTCTTCATCCTCATCCTACTTCTTCTTCTTCTTCTTCATCCTCATCCTACTTCTTCTTCATCCTCATCCTACTTCTTCTTCTTCTTCATCCTCATCCTACTTCTTCTTCTTCTTCATCCTCATCCTACTTCTTCTTCTTCTTCTTCATCCTCATCCTACTTCTTCTTCTTCTTCTTCTTCATCCTCATCCTACTACTTTCTTCTTCTTCTTCATCCTCATCCTACTTCTTCTTCTTCTTCTTCTTCTTCTTCCTCATCCTACTTCTTCTTCTTCTTCTTCTTCATCCTCATCCTTCTTCTTCTTCTTCTTCTTCTTCATCCTCATCCTACTTCTTCTTCTTTCTTCATCCTCATCCTACTTCTTCTTCTTCTTCTTCTTCTTCATCCTCATCCTACTTCTTCCTCTTCTTCTTCTTCATCCTCATCCTACTACTTCTTCTTCTTCTTCTTCTCCTTCATCCTCATCCTACTTCTTCTTCTTCTTCTTCATCCTCATCCTACTTCTTCTTCTTCTTCTTCATCCTCATCCTCATCTTCTTCTTCTTCTTCTTGCCATGGGCCCCTGTACCGCCTCCTCATGCTGCTGCCAGGTCCAGAGTGTGTCATGGGTCCCTGTACGGCCTCCCATTGCTGCTGTCTCCATCGCCACACTCTGCCATGTGCCACTTTCAGGTCTCCTCACACTGCTGGTGGGTTCCATTTTGTCATAGGGTGCTGTATGGCCTCCCATTGCTGCTGCCTCCACCGCCACACTGTGGCTCCACACTCTGGTTTTGGCCCCGTGACTGCCCAAATGAGTGAAGTGTGCGGTGATTCTAAGATCGACGGCACTCATCTGCATGTCATACTGACTGACAGTATTATTTCTCTTCCCCAGCAGACTCCAAGGGCATTTAAATTAAAGGCACAGTGTTCTGCACTAATATAAAGGCTCTCTGAAGCCTAGAAACCCTTTTTATAAGTTAAATTCGCAGCGAATAAATTCGCATTGAATCGAATTTATTCCACAAATTCGGCGAATCAGCCGAATCGAATTTTTGAATAATTCGCTCATCTCTACTTACAAGCTTTATATCTTCAGTGTAAGATCATCTAAGACACTGGTGTCCCTTACTGCTACTCTCAAGAGATTTAGAGTGAGATTTGGTGTTGTCGCTCATTGTTCTCCTGAGTGCCTACTGGAGAGGGAGTTGTATCTTAAGCCCTGCAACACAAGGATCTCTCTGCTTTGGCTTTATTCACTCTGTGGATCTCTGATTTCTTTACCTTTAATGATGCTTTTTGTATATTACCCCTAACAGTCATCAGAACACCATTCAATAAGAGGCACTGGTTATGACATAGGAAAGCAAAGTCTACCCATAACAACTTGGCTACTTTTAAACATATTTACAGTAAGGAAGGAGGCAAGGTAAGTCAGTTATAGAGAAAAAAATCAGCTGCAGGTATCCTACAGGAAATTATGGTGACTAATATATGTCCAACTTCCACAGTACAGGCAGAGCCGGTGCTTTCACTAGGCAAACTAGGCAGCCTGCCACCTAGGGGCGCCTGGGCCAAGCCCAGGCCAGAACTCTCTCTGTGTGGGCTTTGGGCCTCTTGAATTCATCATTTCTCTGCAGAATCCCCCTCTCCTCATACACGGAGAATGATGAGGTAATGATGGTATATTTACTCTGCAAAATTGTCTCGCAGCCTATCCGCACACATGACCATTTAGACAGAAAGATGCTGGGTGTCTGGGGTCAATGCAGCAGCTGAGCTGCTTCTCCTTCTAGTGTTCTTCTCAGACCTAGTCCCTTACTGCAAGCAGGCTGGTGGCTGCTGATCACTGTGGAGTTTTCAAACTCTGTCTCCTTTTTTCTTTTTTATGTTTCTCTGTCTGACTGGTTAATTCGGTAATTTATATTTGGTTAATAAATATTTCGTCTTTAGTATTGGTGCTGGTTGGCATCTTATGGCACTTATTTTTGCAGATTAAAAGAAATGTAGCAGTTTCATGTTTTCTTGATTTAATATTTTCTACTGTTTTTAAAAAATTTTCTTAAGTTTCTTTTTTTTTGGGGGGGGGGGGGGCGCAAGCAGCTGGTCTTGCCTAGGGCGCAAAATAGTCTAGCACTAGCCCTGAGTACAGGTCCTCTATAATCATTACCAAAATAAGTTTAGCTGGTCTTATATCACCCATAAGAACGATGTGATTTTTCCTGAATGTTAGATACAATACCATAGAGGAGTTGAAGAAGTAGAAGAAATGATGCCACTGGGCTTACTCAAAAATGGGAATGCCAAGGAGCTCAAATTTCACAAGAAACAACTTCTGGAGTGACTTCTTGAGAGGTTTGGCCACATTCACAGGTTCCTAGGAGAAGCCCAATGATGCTCTCCTTGCCTACAGGGAGCAGGTAAAAGCTGAGATGTAATGTGAGTAACTTGTACTTTTTTACGTTTAATTTTTTGTGCATTGCATCTTTAATGGGCTTTTTGCTGATTACAAAAGAGGTGGACATTGCATTTTCAAGCTGATCACATTCACACATA